TTGGCCCATCTCTTTAAATTTCTCAAATATCTATAATCGGGCTATACCTATATGTTTTAGATTAAGGATATTTAAATTGTACGTCCAAAATTGTCGTATTTCTGGAGTTTTTAGTATTGCGCGTTTTTTTGTTAATGGTATAAAAATCTTCTAAAGACGTGTGCTTGATTCAAAGTAAGAGGATATGCCCGATTTAATTTCCTTCTCGGAAGTCATGACGTCGGGTGCGTCAATGATGACCTGCCTAACACCTAAAACAACCCTCAGCTACACCCTCGTGGCTAGTCTTATTTATAGATCACCCTAATACACATTAGCGGCTTCCTTCTCTTCTGTTTTTCCCTTTAGCGTTATGCATGCTATCGTTCCCTTTCTAGGATATTTTTCCTTTTTATTCTTCTAGTTATTGCCCCCAGGATTTCTTTGTAATTCATTTTCTCCTCTTCCCGCTACTTCCATTCGCCCTAATTTCTTCTGCCCTTTCGTATAGCTCCACCCTCTCGTTTGTGAACCTTTTGCAATTGAACACACAGTGTTACGCTGTGTCGTTAACCCCGTAGTCAACGCAGTTGCCGTCTTCTTGCTTTCTTATCGTTACCAAGTAGGCTCTGAAAGAGCCGCGCCCCGCAAGGAACTGTGTGAAGAAGTAGTTAGTCTCCCTATGGCCGTGTCCTTCCAGTCTCTCACGTTCGGTATGAGTGTTTTTGTCCATTTATCCCGGTGTTCGTTTTTCCACTCTTCTTGTCATTTCGCGTTGGTCACACCTCTCTCATCTGATTTGTCGTTTTCACTCATGTCGTACGTGATTGCTCTTTCTCTCACTAGTAGGTGAATTGGTGGTACCCCTGCTAGAACTTGTAAGGCAACTGTCGAAGTCGTCTTATATGCGCAGACTACCCTCAGCAGGGTCTTCCACTGTTATCCTGTTATACTGTTATACTGGTGTTGCTTATAGTATGGTGGAGTGAACCACTTACATGAGAATTCTCGTTCTACCTGTCCCCGGACCTACTATGTTTGGCATGATCTTTATTATTTTTTTCTAGTCTCGCTGTTCTTGATCCGCTTTTTTTCGCAGCATATATTATCTGCTCACCGAAGTTCTGTTTAGTGTCCAGTTTATTTAGGAAATAGTATTAGGCGTTAACATAATTTTTTTGAGATCAAAACATACTTATTGAAACTGTATCTTTAGATCTATTCTAGCTGTTGTTTTCTTTCAACTTTTATTCTTTAAATTTTAGCCTTTCTCAAGTTAAGTTCTTTCTGTTTCCGTACTAAATCTTTTTGTTGTTACGTGGTATGCAATATTGACATTTTAAGTCTGTCACGTGTTACATAGATATCTTTTTTATATCCTCACATTTTATTACATTTGTACTTTCATCATCACTAGAGTCCGTATTTAGTAAATAACTCAACATAATAATGCTTTTAAATGTTTTTAATGCTTATTTTAGTTTTCAAGCTTATATATAGCTCTTTTTGTTCTTAAACCTTTAGGTATAGTACTTGTTTGCCAACTTAAGTGAACCTAGAATACCCACAGGAAGTCATTCAAAAGGCTCTCAGGAAAGATATTGTATCATTTTGCCAAGACTTCTTGTTCTAGGACCTTACAGGATTTCTTATACCAATCTTTTACATCTCGGCGACAATTGATCCAGTACAATCGGTCTCGAACTCTGGCAAATGTTCTTTTAACTCCAAAATGTCCTTCAGATAAGCTACTTTTAAGGTATTATGTTTCTTTTGATTATTTGTAATTGTGATCATCTGGAGACTTACTTCCTCGGTTATATTTTCTGTTTCTTGAAGTATTTTATAGTACTGGCATTGTTGTTTTAAACAGGGTCGCCTAAAAAAATATCGGCACTGCTATGGAGACGGCTTCTTCGATGTACTACGTCGAAGTTATACTGTTGGAGTCTTGTCCAACTTGTCCTGGCTTTTTAAAATTATTAGCCACTACAAAGCGATATGGTCAGTTCTTACTATAAAATTTCTATTAAGGGGCTTTGTAATGCTGCCAAAATCTTTATTACATTTTTAGTGATGTGAACAGAGTCAAGGAAATCTTCTAATTTCTTTTCTACTTCCTGCCTTTGGCCAACCTTTAATAAATGAAATCTTCTATGGATCAGTTTTATAGCAGTCCTAGATAGCATGCCTCTGTTTGAAATAGTGAGAATTTCTTATAATTTTTCTTTATATTGACATTTCTTAATCTGTCTTCAGTTTTCAATCTTCAGTCTTAAGTTTTCAAATCTTCATCAAAGATTTTGGACATAATCATTATATTATCAAGATATACTAGATACGTTTTCCAAGTAAGTCCTGGTAAAACCATCTTCATCAGAAGTTCAAACGTAGCTGGAGTATTACAAAGACCAAATGGTAAAACTTGGAAACGGTAGAGATCACTGCTAGTTGAAACAGCTGTTTTGTCTCCATCATTAGGATATACTTTTACTTGCCAGTAAGATCGAAAACCATTTAGTCTATCATCTACTTATGGTAATGAATAACTTTTTTTTGTGTAACCCGGTTTAATCTTCTGTAGTCTACACAAAAGCGAATGGATCCGTCTTTCTTAATTACTAATACTACTCTTAAAACTGTTAAACTGTAGATTTCCCGGATTCAAAAATGTCGTAGTTTTCGTTAATCAGTTTATTAATTTTTTCTACTTCTTCAGTTGTTAAGTCATCAACAATTTTGGTTAGTTGTTTCACTAGGCTAGCGTCAACTAAGTAATCTAAGCTGTAATCTTTTTCTTCAATAATTTGTCGTACTTGATTATTTCTTCTATTGTCGTACAAAATGGTATTTTTTGACCTTTTTTAAATTTAGTAGTTTAGACAAATTAGCAACCTTTTGGTGTTTACCTAGAGCTGAAATTGAATCGAAATTGCGAACAGAAATGGAATGCGCATAAATCCTATCTTGAATTCTACGATTTGTTTGGCCTACATAATACCTGGGGTAGTCTGCACACCGAATTTCATAAACTCCGTGTTGTTCATTTGGAATGTTGTCTTTGATCGATCGAACAAGAGATGGAACTTTTTGTTGTTGGTTAAATATTGTGTTTATTCCTCTTGATTAAGAATTTTGTCGATTTTGTCAGTGACACCATTGATGCAAGGAAGAAAGGCTTTCGTATGATGAGGGTCTGAGTCTTTGGGTTGATATTGAGTGGAAGATTGATGTATGTGGATGCTTGTATTGATTGATGTCTGGGATTAGTTTTTTATGATAACGTCGAGAAACGGTAGTGATGAATCAGTTTCAACGTATATCATGAACTGCATACCTACTAGGATATATACTATTCAGATAGGTTTGAAAAGGGGCCAAAGAAGCCTTACCATGGGTTCAAATGACAAATGTATCGTCAACATATCGTAGCCAACATGTGGGTTTAAGGATTGATGTGGATAGTGCTCGGGTCTTAAAGTCTTCCATAAAGATATTTTCAAAAACTGGAAATAGTGGGGGAGCCCATTGGGGCACCATTTATTTGTTTGTAGAATTGATTTTGGAAGATGAAATAAGTATTTAACCTACAATGTTTAATGAGAGATAAGTGGTCTTGCTGGATAGTGTATTTAGTTTGTGCTACAAAGTGTGTGTAGCACAAAGGATACAGAAAACGATATTATCATATCGTTTCGTTCACGGCCGCCAAAGCAGGGGGCGCCTTTGTAAGCTAACTACGCTGTAGTGAAGTATTGGAAGACATTCTGATGAGGCTGATGAGGCTAGGATAGGCCGAAATGATCATAACACTTTATTATTGATACCGATTCGAGCACGGGAAGTTTAGCGAATTTGTCCTTCTAGGCCATATATTTGGCCATTTAACACACACATATATATATATATATATATATATATATATATATATATATATATATCGAGAGTTTTCGACATCTTTTATTCGGTTCATTTATACCGTTGATGGTGACGTGTTTTGGATGGAGGTTGGCGTAGGGGTTAGCGTGGGGATTGACGCGAACATTTCTGACAGTAGCATTTTGATTGGCGGGTGGAGCTCTTTATGAGAGGCCTCCATGTCAAAGATAACAGTATGCCGTCATCTCTTTTATTGAGACAATTTGGCCTTTTTTAAATTTCTATGGCTTCTCGGATAGTTCTTGGTTTATAGAAGCAGTTGGGGGCTATGGTTCTGGAGTTTTTAAAATCAATTTTGTGCCTTTATGAAGATGCTGATGACCTAGAGCTGAAATTGGATCGAAATTGCGAACAAAAATGAAATGTTCTTAAATTATTTGTTTGATTCTACGATTTGTTTGGCCTATATAAGAGGAGGAGTAGTGTGCACAAAGAATTTCATAAACTCCGTGATGTTCATTTGGAATGTTTTTGTTGGGGGTAAATATTGTCTTTATTCCTCTTGTTTTAAGAATTTTGTCGATTTTGTCAGTGACACCTATGTTGTGGGGAAGAAAAGCTTTTGTATGATGGGTTATGAGTATTTAGGTTGAGATTGAGTGAGAGATTGATATCTGTGGATGCCCCTACTGATTTTATTTTCGCGGTTACTGTTTTGATAAAAACCACGGAATTATTAATTAATTCTTATAATAGTATTAATCTTAGCTCTAGGTTTAATACTGTACTAATCGCTAAAATCTTTCGGAACATTTTATTCGCCTTTACTGGGAGGAATTTTACCAGCTCACTTAATCATATAGCAACCTGTTACAATATATAAAATTTATAATTTAAGGTAAGAAGAGAGCCATTCAAAAAAAGTAAAATATTTGTCTCTAAGGCATTAATTTTGAAGATAAATTAAAATTATGATGCAAGTTTCTTATCGAGTATTATCAGACATTCAGACATTTTAAATAATAAGAAGTGGCTATGAATTTGTTAAGAGTCCATTAATCTTGTCATAGATTTCCGTTATCTACCCAACTTAGTTTTTAAATAAAATATTTATTACAATCTAACCAATTTAAACTTTGATTTTGGAATCAAACATATTGTTGTTTGATAATACCAATATAATTGATAATTAATAGAATATAGACAACGCAGTGGTGTTTTTTTAGATCTATAATGACGTTTAAGGAAATTAATGTAGAACAAGTTTATCAAAACGATAATAAACTGAAGAAGCAAGACGTTTTAGCTTTGGCGGAATGGATGAAGAAGCAACCACACTTACCAAAAGCCACAGGTATACGTTTGTTGTTAGTATATGTATATATGTATATATATATATATATATATATATATATATATATATATATATATATATTTATAATTTATGTTCTAATCTTTTTAATGTATTGGTTTTCTTTTACAGAATTGCAACTCGCTATTTTCCTCCATAGCTCTAATTACAGTAATGAAATGGCGAAGAATGTTATAGAGTCTTATTTCACGATGAAAACTTTATGTCCTGACTTTTTAGGATCCCGTACACTTCACGATAATGTATTAAAATTGGCTGTCAATACTTAGTAAGTAAATAAATTTACTTTAATTATAAAAGCGTCATTTTAAGTGATTTCCCCAATTTAATTTCCCATAAGTTTCCATTTTGGTTTATATCTGTCATTTTAAGTCAGAGCGCATGAGTTCGATTCTCGGCACTAACAACGACATTTATATTTCTAAAAATGATATGAGTCGTTCACTGTGCTTCGGAGGCCACGTAAAGCCGTAGGTCCTTCCTAAATGGACGGAAACGAACCTGTCCGAAATGATTTTCCCAGCAAAAATGGCATACAATATTATTATAATTATTAATTAAGCAACATGCATTTGCTCTTGTTCTTTATTTTTATTTGAATAATACTTCTTATTATGCCGTCTTCTAACGAAGTTTGGCGGTCACTTCTCTATTCTTTACAATGTGAAATATTTGTTCAACACTGAGGTTAGTCCAATCTCTGATATTCCTCAGCCAAGATTTGTTCTTTCTTTCCAAGCCTTTTCTTTCCTCTACTCTTCCTGGCATGATAACGTATAGAGAGTGTTTATCTCTATGTGAGTGAGTGACGTATATAGTAGAGTATTTAATTGTGTTCACAAGCTTTGTGCCATGTCAAATTCGTCTTAACACTTCTTTATATGAGACTTTTGAAGTTCAAGGAATTTTAAGAATACGCCTATATAACCACACTTCGAATGCTTTCAATTTTTTGACGGATTGAGCTTTCAAAGTCCAAGATTTAACCCCATATATCAGTTGTGTTTAATCTTTTTGATTCCTTTGTTAATGATTTCTATAAGATTTTGTAAATCGTCTATATTTTCTGCCATGATTGAGGTATCGTCTGCAAGTCTTATGTTATTAATGATGCTCCCTCCAATCCTTACACCTTCAGTTCTTTCTCATAGTGTCTCCTGAAATATTAGTTGGAAGTACACATCAAATAGTCTTTGACGAGTTTGAGAGTCCAGTCTTCTTCTTCTTCTTCCTTTATTGGGTAATAGAGTCCAGTCTTTGACGACTGGAGTATAGACATTTCATGAATTTTCGATGTTACCTTGAATGTTCCCGAACTACTTCTTCTTTTTCGTCAAGGGACTTTTTCTTTATGGGAAAAATCTTACGGAACTTTTGTAATGTTACCGAACTATTTCTTCTTTTTCGTCAAGGGACTTTTTCTTTACGCCATAAATCTTACGAAAATTTCGTAACAATATTTCACAAATTTTGAAAATGACTAAAATCATTAAATAATAATTTTTAAAGAAGACAATTAAGCTTTTTTAAATTATAAAGAACTTAAATGTATGTTGTTATTATAACAAATATTAACAATTCAGTAATAAGTAGACATAAAATTTCAAAAACCCACATATAGTAATAGAGCACTATAAGAAATATTGTTGTATTGAGAAATATTGGAAACTTAACCAGCAAGCTCAACGTTTGATTATGCATGGTAATGGTAAACCACTAAACAAAGGAAAAAAAAACTGTTGAACCTGATTTGTGTCGCAAATATTCGTTCAAATATTATCTACGGGATGCTTAGGGATTAGATATGCAAATATATTAAACTTTTTTTCTCGCCACGTTAGGATATGACAAAAGTAATGATTGATTTTTGACAAATATTAGAGAAACTGATAATAATAATGCTATTAAATCCGTAAACTAATTTTACGAAACCAAATTCAGATTTCTGCTTTAATATGTGCCTTCTAAGAATTGCAAGACAAAACAGACGTTGATAAAGATGTTATTGGAGACATGGGGAAATTTCAACCTAAAAGGGATCTTCAGAGCGTCTATTCACAGACGCTCTTAACGTGAAAATAAATCTTTCCTGTCGTAGTAGAAGCAACACTAACATGGCTTTGTATGGACGCAAATAGCGACATCTGATAATAAATCCGTAAACTAATTTTTCGAAACCAATGTCTCTAATAACATCTTTATTAACGTCTGTTTTGCCTTGCAATTCTTAGAGGGCACAGATTAAAGCAGAAATCTGAATTTGGTTTCGAAAAATTAGTTTACGGATTTGTTATCAGATGTCGCTATTTGCGTGCATACGAAGCCATGTTAGTGTTGCTTCTACTACGACAGATAAGATTTATTTTCACGTTCAGAGCGTGTGTGAATAGCCGCTCTGAAGATCCTTTTAAGGATGAAATACGTACAAGCGGATATACAGACGTACTATACGTGAAATCAAATCTTGACTGTCTTTTTTTTTAATATTGCTATTGTTCCCAAAGAAGACCAACGAGGGCACCGACCAGCTCTAAATTTTATTGACAAACAACCGATCGTTGAACATGTAAAGTCTTTTCGACCTGCCGTATCTTATTATCGTCGAGAGCATGCTCCCAGTCGTCTATACTTACCATTGGATATCGGAAGAGTGCTTCCAGTGTGCATCATTATAATCTCCATAAGACCGAAGCCGATCTTATTAATCCAACACACAATTGTGTAATGTGTGAAAACTATGTATATCACATAAATAAACATATTACTGCCAGGAAAGAGTATGAAAGAGATGAGGAATCGCAACTAAAATCATCAGATCTCATAGTTTCACATGGCAGATCTTCAGAAAGTTATAATGTTTCCAAGAGTAGATATGTTTAAAAAAGTCCTTTTTACTAGGCGCATAATTACTTTTAACGAAACTTTTGTTGCTGTCGGGGAGGACAGAATTTTAAGTTTTGTTACAACATTAGAGGGCTATATTAAGTTTTCTTTTATGAGTAAAACAATGTCTCGTGGGGTAAGCACACTAAAGATAATTGCATTTTTCTCAAAATAACACAATTGGTAGATAGGACCTTTCAACTTAGCAGGGCAGTATTGGATTGACTGATTTTCTGAACAACTTTGTTCAGTGCTGTTTCTTTTGATTTTCCTTCTTCCTTCATTCTATTTTGGATATGTATGCCACCCTTACAGTGGTTAAAGTTTTTGGTATATAGCCTACTGCTTTGCTAGCTCTAAATATTTTCGTTACGTTAGGTTGGGTTAGGAAATAAGATGTCCAATCCTTTTTGAAGTAGGTTAGGAAATATTCCACTAGAAATTTAAATAGAGCAAAACGGTCTCCTGCTTAATATTTATTGCAGAGAATTCCCAGTCTGGTGTTGTTGTGAATATTTCCTAGTAATATATATTTTCTTCTTCTCTAATTCATAAGTTTCAGTTATTACTCTAACGTTCCAGGTAAGGTTCTACCACTTAATGATCTATTCGTTAGGAACGTTCTGTTTTGTGCTCAGAATTTGTATTTAATGTCTACTATAAATCATATTGTTTTTGTTTACCACTTTTTGCTTTATATTTTTATTGTTTTTATTGTTTCTATTTGTAGAGCTTCTTGGGAGACATCCATATTTTTCTTAAGTTTTCCCTAGCTCATTTCTACGCAACTTTAATCTTTAATATGTTCTATTTCTATCTTCTAGTCAAGCATTTTATGATAAATAAATTTTGTTTAGTCTCTCTTAAATTTTGTTTGATATTTGATGAGTAGAGGAGAGTTGCCAATATTGTACCACTTAACATATTTTGAATTTTAGTTTGATTAATATACGCGTCATATTAAACTGAACGATATATTAGGATGTTAAATGCTTTTATCAGCATGTTTTTTACAGTACAGAACAGTACAGCGTATAGATCAGCGTATAATATAATAATTTTTATTGTGTTTTTGTGTGAATATTGTATAAGTGTGAATACTATTAATCATGTTTTGTTTAATAAAAATTTATTTTCCAATATCAGAAATTATTTAGTTACATAATATTTTTATTTACATTCAAAGCAAGAAAAAGTTTGGGTTCAAGGTTGGACTCCTACACAAAGTTCGTGGCTCCATGAACGGCATTTGGTACATTGGATCATCTCTCAATTCTTTTTTCCTCGTAAATTGAACATAACCACTCATTAACACACATTTCTATAAGAACGTCAGGTTGATTTGAGCTTGACGCGGCATTTAGAAGAACAGACTCTGCAGTATTTTCACATTTTTTTTTTCTGATAAGTTTTTTTGACAGCTTCTTTGTTCCTTTTAAGACTAGTTTTATCTTCTAGTATTATTTTTGGAACACTTACAAGTTTCTTGGATGATTTCGGTTTAGCCTTCCCCAATATTATTTTTATTTGTTTTACCTGTTCCTGTGCTAACTGTAGCTGTTTACCTAATTCTAATTCATTTTTATAGGGACTTCCCGTCAAAACCATTGCCTTTTGTGGTCTTCCCTTCTTGGATTTTGGATGAGGCTTCGGTATCGGGGAAATTAAATCTATTGAAATGTTAAGTTTTGGACTTGCTTTCGCAAGTTTTTTTTTAGTAAACCTAGTGAGTGTAGTAGTCGTAACTAAACTTTCTTTAGGACCAGGTAGTTCAAGCCAGATTATTTCGTGCTATACATTAGCTTCTGTTATAGACCTAAGTGGTTCCTTGTTTGTCTCATTAGGCTCTTCATTTTTACCATCTTCCCGAATTTCACTGCCTTCATGGTCATTTAAATTTTCAGCCGCACAAAAGTCATGATCTTTGAAGGCCATGCGATCAACAGGCCATACTCCACTAGTTCGGAAACCATTGACTGAAATTTTAATGTTTGCTGCTCTCCCATAAGCTTTAGAAATCAAGCCAGCTACGTGAAGTTGTGTAACACATAATCCGGGGTTAGAACGAATCCACTTTTCAACTAATTGAGTGTAGTATCCTTTAAAAGGTTTAAATAATGATCTATCCAAAGGCTTCACGCGATGGGTCGTATGCCCAGGCAATTATAGCATTATTAAACCGTGCTCTCTAGCAAGTAAAATTGCTTGAGGATTCTTGGAGTGCGTTGTATGTCTATCCAGTACCAAAAGATTTTTTTTCTATTGTTGGGTTTACAGAATCAATAAAATGCTGGAGTCATTTTACAAAGAGATCACTGCTCATGTAGCCTGATTCTGATATCTCAACCATACTCCCTGGTGGAGCTCCAACCCTCAAATCATTGTTTATTTGCATGCGCTTAAATATAAGCATAGGTGGTACGTAAATTGCTAAAGCACTCGCACAGCGAACAACTGTCGTGTTGATTCCACGTTCTCCACTGGACACTGACCCAACTTGCCTTTTTGTTTTGCACAGTGCTGACACGCGTTTCGTCAACGTTAAATATGCGAGTTGCGTCAATATGATTCTTATCAACAATTTTTTCCAGAAGGTCGAAAAAGGCGTAAAGATTTCTTTTATTGAATCCTTTTGCGCGCATCATGGGCGTTGCTTGAGGTTCTCTCAGTGAGATTATATCCGTATGACGAGCTTTTAAAGCATAAAACCACTTCTTTTCTGCCATTTGAGATTCTTTATTTAAATTATGTGGTATTTGCTTTCTCTCCACTATTTCAAATGCAAGCCGTCGAACATCATTGATCGTGACGGCAAACATCAACGTCTCCAGTTTTAAAATGTGATCAACTAGCTCCTTCTCCATTGCTGTTGGTAACACACTGCACGGCCAAAAACCTTCGTTTCTTTATTTGCCTTCACATTGGTTCCGCTAAGATGACGAAACAAGGTAGGTTTGGGGACTCCATACTGCCTACAGCAATCATTTAATCCCATGTCTCCACTACGAAATGTTTGAAGAGCCCGGCTCATGTCGTTCTCAATCCAATTCCCATATTTTTTTTTGGGTATCTAAAACACACGAGAACGGTGCGTGTTATTTATTTATTTATTAATTTTTAAAAATAAGTAGGTATTCAATACCCAAATAATAGATGGTATATGCAATTGTACCAGTACAATATAGGCAACTCGGCGTGGTACAATATGGGAAATTTGCACTTTACGTAAATAAACTACGATTCCTAAACTAAAAATTGCCAGGTAAAGGGAAACAACTCAGTTTTATACATCTAAACACATGCTTTTCTTATAATTATGAATAAAAATGGTTTGCAGGTACCTTTACAGATTTTGTAACCTTACGTATGGAACTAGAAAACTATACTAAAACACCATTAAATACAAAAAATTCGATAAAACAAAATCGACAAATGTGAACGTTTTAAAACTTTAGGACTCAACTCTAAGTAGTAACTAGTTCCACTAAACGACATAAGAGCGCTCTGGATTGCTCATAAAGTATAAATACAGCGGTGGTACAATATTGGTGCCGGTACAATTTCGGCTACTTTCCCCTAATCAGATAAGATGGGATCCCCATCTCAATTTTTTCATTTATTCTCACATTGTAGAAATTCTATCTTCAAGAATAAAAGATCAAATACCGAAAAATAATATATTTCTGTAAAAGCAATGCGCTCTACCACACACTTCACCGAACACTGGATAGGTAGAAGGGAATTCATTAAATGGTTTTCAAGATTGCGAGATCTAAAGTCATTGGTATTTTTTTTCATGGTTATTCCAAAACGAACTGCTACAAAATTTTCTTACAAATGTTGAACAATATCATCTTACTGTATGGAAACAAATTTGTTGCATTTGGTTGTTTACAATAATTCTACAACAGAAAAACATTACAATGGTTTTGTAAAATAAAATAAACTATTTTCAAAATGTGTAACTGGATCCCGCTTCCATTTAAGATACTTGAATCAGTTTCCACCTATTTTATCAATGGGGAGCAATACGTGTCTCCCTTGACAGTTGAAAGCAACTGTCGGGAATTTTCCGGAAAACTTCTTCAATTGAAGATAGGAAGGTGTAATTGGTTCAGCCCATGGACGTATAAACATAGATGGACACAGCAATAAGATACCTTTAACACACAATGTTTTGAAGCTTCGATAGAATGTGATGCTTCCGTAATGAGCATAAGCGTGCTTGAATTTTTACTCGCGGGTAAATATTCAGATTTTAAAAATTGGAAGTAGTAATAATGTATAAAAACACGTTCAAAGATTAAAAAAAAAACGAGAGTTTAACTATTAACAAATCACGTCTTTTTAGAAAAATTAAAATACAATTTTATTTGCTTTAAAATTAATAGAATTAAATATAGTTGAATTCAAGTTAATTTTTTAATAGGTATCAAAATAATGCTACAATAAAAATCTTTAAATCTTTCGAAACTATTTTACGATTGTTAAATTAGATGTCGCTAGTGCGTCCGTATCGAAGCCATGTTATTGTTGCTTCTTAAAAGGCAGAAAATATTGATTTTTCACGTTGAGAACTCCTATGAATAGCTCTTCTGACGAGACCTATTAGGTCGAAATACGTATCAAGAGATACATAGGATTTGTTTGCGTGAAATCAAATATTTGCTGCCTTTTCTCAAAAATCTTTATGTTTTCTCCTAAATTTGCTACCCAAATAGTTCGATCGTCAATATTATTTGGAAACCTACATGGAAAAATAAATGAGTTTTATTCATTTCACTAATTTATTTGTATCCAGGAGAAATATTAAATTAAAAAGGTACTAAACAGATATTTTTTAATCAGATGATGTCTACTTACAATTCAAAAATGTCTATTAATTTCATGAACTCATATCTTATTCAATACATTAATGAACATGAATAAACCCAATGGTACGCCTCTTAAAATGTAAACAAACACGCTTCCTCATTTCCTCATCTTAAATAATGTAATTTGCATGTACTTACAAATGAAATGAGAGATCGGGATGTAAATATTTCGTTTATTTTATTTCACTTTTCACAAATATCACTTAAAATACAGCCAAAATATCGAAAAACAACTTTTTCTCATCTACTGTAAAAAGTAAACAAACATGGAACAGCATTTAAAGTTTGACGTAGATCCATAAGACAGAGAAATGTAAACAACCGTTGCCATTTATAAATAGTTTTCAGTGCTTCTACATATAAAATAATTGATTAATATCTATTATATGCTATTATTAAATGGTAATGCACACTATGTGCACACTTAATATTTTGATTACAATTAAATATATTAATCTAACCAATAAATTATTATTTTGGTTTGATAGCACCTGTAGAGTATAAAATACGGAGTAATATTTTCAGCGACTCGCGAATAAGAAATTTTAAAACAAAACGTGACAACAGTTGAAGGTGCTGAGAATGCGACCTATTCAAATAATTTTAACTACACAATTTTATGTAAATAACTGAGTCCATCTGTGTTTATACGTCCATGGTTCAGCCTATATAATAAAACATGTTTTCTATTTTAGTGTATTTTCTATCCTTCCTAAGCAAGCACTTGGAGGAGAAACAGTAGTAATATCAAAACTTATGGATACTAATTTAAGTAATTTTACTGCATTGGGTATGTTAAAATTAATGGATGTCGCTTTAGCTTTATTTATACACGAGAATGGTCCACCATGCGGTTTTCAGTTGGTTTTCGACATGCAAAACTCTAGTCTTGCACATTTCCTTAAAGTAAATCCGATGCTTATAAAAAAGTTCATCTACTATTTACAGGTGTAGTATTAATATATCATTTAGAAAGGTGTTTGAGTTGTTATAAATTTTATGTTAATTAATTTTTTTTTAATATGCAATATAATTATTCAATAATAATCATATTTTTTTCTGATGTTTGTAGGATGCAATGCCAATCAGATTAAAACATATACATTTCATCAACCCCGCATTTTTCCTAGATAAAGTTTTTAGTTTAATAAAGCCCACGATGAAGAAAGAACTGTTTGAATTGGTAAGCTATTAATTTGAATTGTTATATATATATATATATATATATATATATATATATATATATATATATATATATATATGTATATATATATATATATATATACATATATATATATATATATATATAATATATATATTATATTAACTATTATATAAATATTATATATATATATATATATATATATATATATATATATATATATATATATATATATACAGATTGAACCAAATTAAAACGGAACATACAATTTAATACATGTCTGTTTGAACTGCATTTGAAATAGTGGACCAATATAAAACTTGAACAAAAATAAATCCATACCTGGGTATAGACATTGTATAAAATATCGTTCAATTATCTGTCCCGCAACAAAGTTGTTTGCGTAAGACGGGTTTGTCTAAGGAGGCGATAATAGTTCAGGAAATGAAGCTCGAAAAAAGTTAAAACCTCGCAATTTTTTCGTCCTACATGTATCCAGTTGAAATTTTAGCAGAAGGTAGGTAATAGCTCAAGGATCAAAATCTATATCCAACCGAAGTGCGCTGAAGGGTTTTAGGGGTGAAAACTACCCCTAATTGTCAAAAATTATAAATTAACATATTAAACCTGAATATGGGTAAGATTTGGTTTGAATTAGTTAAATAATGATTATTTTATACTTTTGAATAGAGTTCCATCATATTTCAACCCTTAAAAAGCAACCCTTGTTAGAGATTAATGTAAAAAATTACTAATTCTAAAAAAATGATTTCGCCTTGGATCGATTTGGATAAAAATTTGGATTTAAGCTCAATTCACCCGCTGCTTTATAGTTTATGTAATGTCGACGAACCCTAATTGTTCTTAGGGGTGAAAACTACCGCTAATTGTCAAAAATTATAAAATAACATATTAAACCTGAATATGGGTAAAATTTGGTTTGAATTAATTAAATAATGATAGTTTCGTGCTTTTGAATAAAGTTCCATCATATTTCAACCCTTAAAAAGCGACCCTTATTAGAGATTAATATAAAAAAATTAGTAATGCGAAGAAAATGATTTCATCTTGGAACGATTTGCATAAAAATTTGGAACTAAGCTCAACTCGCCCTCTGCTTTACAGTTTATGTCATGCCGATGAACCCTGATTGTTCTTAGGGGTGAAAACTACCCCTAATTTTCAAAAATTGTAAAATAATATTACAAATCTTAAGATGAGTGAAATTTGATTTGGATTAGTTAAATAGTGAGTTTTTTATACTTTAAAATACAAATTCATACATTTTCAACCCTTAAAAATCAATTGTTATGAGTGCTATAGGTGAAAACAATTTTTTGCCAAAATTTTGCAACTTTTCAACTTTTGAAAATTACCCTTTACAACATTGCAGTTTTTATAAACTAATTTATAAGATATAAATTGAAAAAAGTAGAATTAAATACAAAAAAAATTATCAACATAAAAAGGCACCATATATTCTTATACATTTACATAAATAGTTGAAAATATTTACATTTATAGGTAAATCTTCAATTATTGGTGGACTGTTATTGCACCCTTCACCTGAGCACCCAGAACAAGTAGAGTTACAGTATAAACCAACTTTTCTGCACCCATATGAAACGCCGCATCCTTTTTTGCATTGGCAAAAAATAATTTTCAAAAATTTATCGGGTGTAGGTTGTTTGTTCATGCGTACGGGTAATAACAAACCATCTTTGGAATACCATCCCCAATCTGCTGCTCTGATATTTTCATTGCCAAGCCATAGACATATGAGCAGATGTTTTATTCTGTTGTATGGGATTTCAAAATAAGAACGCTTAAAATTTCGAATGTATAACGCCCCACTAGCTAATATACCGGTTTTGTAGATTATTATGCTCCGAAATGTACTGTACTATACTAATGGAATTTTCCGGAAAAAAATTAACTGGTTTTTTTAACGTATTTCCTTTAATTTTTAACGATAGAGTGTTTCTTCAAAAACGATTTGTAGAGGTTTTTAATAGCTACAAGGATCTGTGAATTAAATATTTTTGGAACCCTTGGTTTTTAAATGGGGTGAGTTTAAAGGGCTCGAAAACGATGGTGCTTGATCGTAAATCGTTGCTTTAAACGGCTATATCTCGCCAAATATTCATTGTACAACAAATCTAAATAAAGGATAATTTTAGTCAATAAAAAAGCTACAATTTGGTAATTTTTATTTTTTTCATATATTCAGTATTTTCGGGCATATTTAAAAAAAGAAGGGTAAAAAATATGAAATTGTAAATCGTTTGTCGCTTTAAGCTGTACTTTTTCTAAAACTAATCATTTTAAATGGGTCAAACTTCTTGGACGTATTAACAATACATCTACAAAGGGAATTGCAGAAGGGTGAAGATCGATTTTAATTATGGGGGTGGTTAGGGTGTTGTTTTCCTCGATTTTTTCGTAAAAAATGAGGTATTGACCTTATTTTTTTATGATAGGTCTATTTATGCTCTTTAAAAAAGGTTTTGTGAGTTTTCTTCCAAAAATGCATCATTTTCCCGATATTTGACTTTGAATCTTTCAAATTTGGCATTTGAAGAAAACCGCTGAACATTGATATTGTATTTGTAATTGTATTTGTCTTTTTAAAAGCTACAAATTTGTTCTCTACAATTTTTTTGATAAAATGAACCATTTTCGAGTTATTTGCGAAAAATCGATTAAAAACGTGGATTTTTTCGTCTAAAAGTTGTTAGTTTCAATCGCGAATAACTTGAAAAATATCATTTTATAAAAAAAAATGTATAGCACATTTTTTGTTTAGAATCACTTTTCTAATCGAAACCTGTAGTTAAAACGTAAAAAAATTTTCACCCCGGAGATGGGGTGGCCACCACCCCCTAGGCTTTGGCGCACTTTGGTTCGATATAGATTTTGATCCTTAGGCTATTACCTACCTTCTGTTAAATTTCAAGTCAATCCAGACCGCACGAAAAAATTGCGAGGTGAAATGCTACATTTCCTGGACTATAACTGGTTTGACAGCATAATAAAATCGTAGATTTATGTGTAGCTTTCAATTTTTATGAGTTCAGAATCCAGCAGCCCGCTGAAGTATGGGATTTTTTATAATATAATTATTTGACACTATTTTGTTGGCCAACCACCTACAGCAGAATTGAGCCGAAATATATTATATTCCTATGTTCCGAATTTATTTCGTTCAATCTGTATATATATATATATATATATATATATATATAATATATATATATATATATATAATATTTATATATTAAAAACTTCCTTGACATTAAGTTATTTTTTATCGACTCACTAAGTGGTAGATCATTCTATAAAATTGAAATGCCTTTGGTCGTTTGAATCTTGTATTAATATTACACACGTTAAGAAGTTGAAACAATTTATATTTAATTTGCTTATTGGGGGTTGAAAGGGGGGACTGAACAATTACTGGGCTTGAAGATAGGTTAAGCAAATAAATTAAAACGTTTGCGAAAGGCTACTCGTCTTTTGGTTGGAGGGCTGAGTCGTGGATAAGGATTTTTCTATTTGGGAAGGACTCGGAGGACTATCTACAAAAAATAAATCAAAAAAATACTTACAGAGATGTTCTACAACACTATACAAGAAGATTCCTAAACTATTTAAAATAGGATGCCGTTTAAAAAAATCCACTTGTTGTTTGGAAGAAAAGGTTTTTCTGTTCTAAAAAATTTCAAGGGTGAATATTTAAAAAAAAAATTAAACTTCTAGTTTAAAGAGAAATGTGACATTTATATTCTTATTTCACATAAACAATTATTATTACAAAAAGGTCTTAATTCATAAACAAACATTAGATTGAACCTTCTAACAAAATAGAACTAAAATTATAGTTATGTACCAAATGACAGAAAAAGATATCTGACTATTATATCATATGTAGAAATGAAAGACCAAACTTTTCTGAATTGTTAATTAATTATTAAGGTTAATTTTATTTTAAGGAAAACTAAAATATGACAATAAGCTGATTCATAAAACTTAAATTTATTTAAATCAACTTAACTTAAATTAACAAAACTATTTTCTTCACTGGAAAATTATTTCTTCTTGAAATTATTAAACAAGTTTGTTACCTTGGAAATGGATACAAAAAGCACGGTCCCACACAAAATGTAAAGGATCTGGATCCGAACCATGGGGGTGACACAAAATAGAGGCTGACAAATACCAAAAGTGGGCCTTATTTTATCCTGGATGATAACTATATGATTCTTCAAAATTCGGCTGCTTATTTTTCACCCAAAATCATGTAGGTTCACTTAGCCCTCAGAAACAATGTTATCAGATCCTTTGATACGAAATACAGCAACAAACCGGTGATTATCTCACTTTATAAAGACTGCCAAATAGCATTTCGAGCTCAAATCACCTTCTTCTTATCAAAACCTATGAAACTAAATGAAAATTTGCTGGTTTTTAAAACTCACCGAGAACCATGTTTTTCTCGTTCTGGCCCTAAGTTGTTCTTACTGACTGCTACACTAACGAATTCCAGATAACAAACTTCTGCATAACTTTAACAATGAAATCGACTGCTTTCGCAGCCGGTCCAGAAAAGCGGAAAGATTATTGTTTATTTTCAGCGTAAATATCTAGGCGGAATCAAGATCTATCGAAAGAGCAATTATAATTATTATAAACAGACTCGAAAATATTTATATTATTAATCTTTGGAGACGCAAAAAGATTAGGAATATTTTTCGGTATTTTATGACATACGGGGTCAAACGAAAATGCTACAAAGTTTTGGTTGGAAGTCCTAGTTTACGTGGTTCATGTTGATCTTTAGGTCACGATGAAGGCCACCTTTATGCAATTACCAATGTGCTTTCATTTTATACTTTAGCATTGAAAACTTTGATCACCTAAATGTTGGTTTGGCTAGTATAGCCCTATTATTGAATACCATATCTCTACACTACATGCAGTCTTCGCTCATAAAAAACGGACTTTGTTATGGATTTATTAGTAATGAGTACGATCAAAATACCAATACATTTTTCTTCACTTGTTAAAGGTGCATTTAGACGGGCTAGTTTTTAAAGCAATATGTTGCCGAAAATATATATTCGATATGTTGCTGGCAACATTGCAGCATGTGGCCGAAATCTTGCTGGTATTTGAACAATATTGCAGTTAGTGGCTGATGCGTTGCAGATAAAATCGAACTGCCGTGGAAAATGTTGCATGTTGCTCGGCTACTCTGTAGAAATTTAATTTGGTTTTATCAAAACATACAAAGAAAATATGAATACATTGTCAAATGAATACACAATAAGTTATAATAATGCAGTACATTTACGTCCAGAGTTGTGGGATGTAGAAAATACATCATACAAAGACAGAAATGTGAAGAAAAAGTTGGATGGCCATTGCACAAGAATTGCACATACCTATGCGAAAAATGAACACAAAAAGGTAACTAAAAAAAGTGGAAGTCAAGGTGGCAAAATTGTACATCGGTTTGCATATGAAGCTTCTTCTTCTTCTTTCTTCTTGTATGTAGGCTTTAAAGCCGGTTTCTTTTTCAATATTAGCCTCTTAAATTGTTTAAATTATCGCACCATGTTTTTCTTGGTCTGGCAATACTTCTTCTGGTCTGGTTCGTCCATTTGGTGACCTACCTCATCTGAATGTCTTTAAAATATCTATTAAAGCTTGGCATACTTCTGGAACTATAAGACAAGTGGACGAGTAGTGCACGCTCAATAATTTCATTAAACTGGTATAGGAGTCACTAGTCGCCAAAAACTGAAGAATGACTGCTACTCTGTTGAGATTGGTATTGCGTTTCTCATGTTTGTATCTTTCTTCTCTATTCTTGGCCCTGTCATATTTATTAATAGTTCGAAATAACTTTTTGACATTCTTGTAAAATTCTTATAAAAAATAATTGTCTAGCATTATTTCCCTAGTTAAATTACTCATTGTTTCGCATTTACTTGGAAAAGGGCGTATCCACATTTTTCGTTTTTTATTTTTTTTTGTATCGTAGCACGATTAAGGACGCAACAACTTGTACAATGTCGGACATCTTTATTTTTGACTTTGTTTCGTCAAACTTCAAGGGTATTTTTCGTCTAAAACGGAAATATAATACAACAAGCGTGGCTGGAAATATTGCAGTAAATATTTTTTCCGCAAATCGCCAGGAAATTTTGACATTCCTGTCAAAATTTCTTGAAGAAACAGTCAGGACTTCCTAACTGTAAGGAAATGTCATTTCCTTACTGTAAGGAAATGATATTTCCGTACAGTTGTTAGTGTTCTACATAAATGATAGAAAACACATTGCTTATAAGGAATTAATTTATATTTTGAAAACATCAAGTCATTGCTGAATACATTTTTAAGATCAATTTGTTATATTTACAGTAATTTGACAGTTAGTACAATTATTAAACATTGGAGGAACACTCTTAGAACTATGAGAAACATTTTGGACAACATGCAGGGTGGAAGTGTCATTTTGTTGAATATTTTGTACTGTGAAAATTTTATTTGCCACCTCAACCTTATTGTTAAGCGATTCTTTGATATATCCTTCAGCAACGTTTGATGACTTCCATCCGCCATGCCTCTTTAAACTAGTTATGTCGGCACCAGAGTCAACCAATATTGTTGCAGAAGACCGACGAAAGCAGTGACCAGTATATTCTGTCGGATTTACCAAGTTCAAATAAGTAGCAATTATTTTGGGCATTTTTCTAAATTGATGAATTCCTACCACTTGTCTACAACCCTTTCCGCTTTGATATTTAAAGAAAATTCTGGTCTTAACGAAACATACTTCCGATAAACATTCAAGTAGATCTGATTAATTACAAATGATCTTGGTTTGTTGGTTTTCGAATCAGGTATGCTGATTAAAAGCTTAGATTCTAAGTCTTCTATATCGTGTACAGTCATTCGGACTAACTCATCCATTCTACAGGCCCCAGAAATACCAAATATTACAGCCACCTAAAAAATAAATAAAGCTATAATCTAAATAGAAATTAAAACCTTGTAAATTACCTCAATCATTAAATTTTCTTTATCTGGAGCTTCCTGGATAAATTTTTCAATTTCTTCCTTCGTTAAAATCTTAGATTTCTTTGCCCTATAACCTTGAGCTTGCCGTTTCAATAAAGAACGAAGTTTTGAGTATGTAGATATATCTACATTGTGTTTAAGTGCAAGGGTTGACTTCAGCATTGAATAATTGGTCCATAATGTTGAAGATTTCATCTTTAAACAAAGGTCTAGGAAGTATGCCATTACAACATTTTCTGAGAAAGAACTCGTATTTTTACTCATGCGATAATCCATAAAACGTCTGTATGCATTTTCGTACTTTTCTCTTGATTTCTTTGGCAATAATTCTAATGAAGCAGTATTCACTGCCTCAACCAGCTCTGGAGGAGTCCCACGAATGGAAATTTCATCATCACTTATCATTTTACTTTCGAGAACACCAGCAATTAAATTTATAAGCGTCAATTTGACAATTCAACCTCAATACGTTTCCATAGTAACCCAAGTAATTTTATTAGGAATTTCAAAGCACCATTTATTTGGGAATAAAATTATCGCGTTTTTTTTTAAATCAATCAATATCTGTCGAATTTTAAACGATTTGCGGAAAAATAGTATGTTTACCTCGTAGGAAAAGCCACATTTCTGGACTCTGTGTTGCTAAGTCTCGGCTTGCGCCTCGACTTAGCAATCTTCACAGTCGTCCAGGAATGTTAAGCTTTTCCTACCCGGTAAACAATGTACTATTTATTATTGTTGATAGGCCATACGTAAATATTTCTGTTTTCACAAATATTGCTAAGCAATATTTCTACTAAATATTGACGAAAGTATGCAATTTTAGTGGCCCGTCTAAATGCAGCTTTACGCCCGTCACGTTTCTTCTCAATATGCTCTTCCCTGATCGGGAGTTATACCAAGGTAATTACTATTTATATGGGAATAAGCCATAATTAAAGGTTAAATAAAGTACGTTTATTGGCGTTTCAATTTTTTTGTGTTGTACTGTACTGTTTAATGTACTGTAAGACTGGCCCATTTGTGTTACATTAACTCTAATTTGTTTCGGTTCCAAGTACGAATCTTCATGTTTTACACATAAATCTCGGTAACTTAAATACTATTTTATAATATGATAGAAATACATAGGAAAGAGAGATTTTCATCCATGCTAAAAGCTTTTATGCCGATTGCATGTTTGAAAACAATAAAAACGGCAGGGCACATATATTATTTGTTTTCTAATGTTTTTTTAATGACATCCGCAAGTTGATGCACTTGGTTAATGATCGAATAGTTAATTATTCATGATATATTTGATACATTTTAAGATTAATTTCTGTATGTAAACTGCGGTTTTACTCAGATCTGGTTTATCCTAATGCGAGCATTCATCAAAAGTATTAACTGGGTGTATTTAAAAACCCCTCATCCCAAATTTTCAGATAATAATTATTATTATAAAGTAGGACCGTTGAATAGTTTTAAAAAATAATACCTTTATGCCTTTATTTATAAATTTACTAATGATTTATTTTTATAGTTTGTAGTTCATTCTGATCTAAAAACACTTTTTGCTTATATTCCTCAAGATATTCTACCAAAAGACTATGGTGGTAACTGCAAATCTTTATTAGAATTTCAAGGTAAATTTTAATCATAATACTTGTACATACAGACACTTAATAAATAATATTATATTTTAGAACAAGAAAAACAAAAAATAGAGGATGGTGAGGCTTTTCTAAAATTCCAAGAATCTCAAGTTGTTGACGAATCCAAAAGACAAGGACAATCAAAGTATAACGAGAGTCTCTTTGGTATTGATGGCAGCTTTAAAACACTGGAATTTGATTGATGTTTATAGTTTCGTATTATGAACTTTGGCGAAAGAATATTTGTACTTTTATTTGGCATTATACTTTTGTTTCCTTTAATGTTCTATATTCAACCTTCATATGTTGTGGAGATCTTGTTTGTCGTTCTAAGTATAATTACACAGCCCTGTTAATTACAGACTAATTATTATGAAAATAGGAAAAAATTCTATTACGTAGAGCTTACAGATGAATGATATGGAAGCTATGTTTTGAAACACAAACATAAGTCTAATTAAAGTTTAAAAAAGCCTAAACAAAAAATTTAACAACTAAACTTACGTTGAAAATAAAATAAACATATCAAAAATGTCTAAAGAACTCAAAGTTTTTTTATGTATACATCAATTTTAATATAATTTTAAAAAGTGACATATCGTTATAATGTCTGATTATTCAGCAATTAGTTCTTCTTATTTCGGTGTTATATGATTTCTCTATGATGAAATAATCAAACAAAAGTTAAGAAGTGCACTAATTTAATGGAAATTTTTAATATAAAAGTCAACAAAAAAAAAAAAAAAAAAAAAATAAAAATCTAACAAAAAATTTGTAAAACCCATTTGATCCCACGATATTTTTTTTGATAATACAAGATTTTTTGAATGTCCTTGTTATCTGGGTTAAATAGTAACAATTCATTTTTATTAAAGTTTCAGCAAAAAGGAGGTGTACTTATACGAGTACAATGAATACAATAAAAACGAACGTACAATAAAAATGAAAATATTTTATTTTTTTACAATATAGGTACATACTTGGGTATATCCTGTATTATAATCTAACTAGTACGAAATTGTACAAAACAATCACGTTTAATACATAGAGTAACTTCGCACTTTATACAAATCCAACGTACTTTTTAATGGCATAAGCGACATAGAAGTTGTTTGCCCCGATTTTTTTTGGAAGATGACCGATTCCATCCATTTTTAGACTAATTGGTACAGATCCTGCTAGTCGTTTTCTAGAATAAGTAGATTTCCCTTCTTCTTCTTCAAGTGCCCTGCCCGTTGCGAACGTTGGCTATTAACATGGCAATTTTGATCTTGTTTGCGGCGCTTCTGAATAGTTCGACCGATGTGACCCGAACCACTTCCGCAGATTTTGGAGTCACGAGTGTCTTCTCCTGCCTGGCCCTCGCTTACTGTCTATTTTTCCCTGGACAATCAAATGTAGCAGACGGTACTTATCGTGTCTCACTATGTGGCCTAGATATTCAAGCTTTCTTTGTTTAATTGTATTCACGATTTCGTTCTCCGATTCTTTTAAGTACCTCTATGTTGGTGACATGTTCGGTCCAGGATATACGAAGAATGCGTCGGTACACCCACATTTCGAATGCTTCTAGTTTTCTCGTTAGCGTCTCCGTCACCGTCCAGGCCTCCACGCCATACAGCAAGATCGGAAAAATGTAGCATTTAACTATACGTAGTTTTAGGGGAAGAGACAAATCCTTGCTTATGAGGAACTTTTTCATATTGCTAAATGCTGCTCTAGCTCGTTCTATTCTCGCCTTAATTTCTATGGTCTGTTCCCATTTTGCATTTACGTTGGTGCCAAGGTACACATAAGATTCTACATGGTCAATTAGTATGTTATTTATCCGTAATTGTCGAGCAGGTTATTGCTTTTTTGCTTATCAGCATCCACTTTGTCTTCTTGAAGTTGAGCCTCAGGCCGTATTCCTCACTAACTGAATAAAGTCTTTCCATTACTTGTTGTAATTCGTCTATGGTACTGGCAAGGATGACCGTGTCGTCGGCATATCTTATATTGTTCGTTAACTCGCCGTTTCCCAAAACTTCTTAAATAAAGACGTACTACATCTCGTTGAAAAGCCAAAAGATCCATTTCTTTATTTTCGGCAAATATTTGTAACCTCCACGAGTTAAGAAGAGCTAAGTTGAGCGTGTGGTAGTTATTAACCGATTGGTCAAGATTCGGTAGTTATTAACCGATTGGTCAAAGAGATCAACACTGCTCATTGTCTGATGAGAAAAGTTTTGGTTGTGGTACATCAATTTTTCGCTTGGCAGCAGCACACCAACGCTTCACTTTTGAAAGTGTTTCAATACTATCGTAATTTGATGCTATTGTGACCACATTGTCATCCTTCCGTTTTTCAAAAAGTAGTAGACTTGTTTTGTCTAAGCGATATTCTAAATATACACGATTCTTCTTTTTCATTACAGCGAAAGGTAACAAAGGATATTTTTTTATACGATTTTCTCTTGCTGTACCTGTTGCCCTAAAGCCCTTCTCTTTTAAAGTTTCCATCAAATTGTAACTAGTAAAATAATTGTCAAAAAATACTTGTGGTCGACATCGACATCAAGCATTTTTAGAAAGACTTTTGATCCTAAAGGCAACGCCACGAATTTTGATTTATCCACTGATGCTCCACAATATGTGTCAAAATTGTAGCAATAACCAGTTGAACTATAAAGCATCCAGTCCTTGTACTCAAATCTTAGTGGCTTTCCCCATATGAACTGTTTAGATGAGTGATGCCCAAAATACCTTATCATTGCTTCATCAACTGATATCTTTATGAAATATGTCAAATTGTTGAAAATTTTTAGTTAGTTTGTTCATGAGAGGCCTCACTTTATACATTCTGTCTCTTGTACTAATTTGCGAATTATCTGCCAAATGTAGGAATTTTTTAATTTCTTGGAAACGGCTCCTTGAAATTGAATTAGTCATGGAGGGAACCTGAAGATCCTTATCTTAACACCAATAGTTGCACTCTCGTGGCAGTCTATAGTATCCAGTAAAAAATAAAATACCCAGAAATATCTTTATCTCTTCCTGCGTTACATGAAATTAATGATTATTATTTTGAGCGGCATATAAATTTGTCTGCTGTGTATATTCAATAATTTCATTGTCGAAAAACTTTTCAAATATTTCTATAGGAGATTTACCTCGGATTTGTTCTTTCGTATTATCCAAACAATCCTGGTAACCTGTTGTAGATGTCATACTAATATCAGTAATTTCTTCCGTCCAGTCAGATTTCTTGGTTTTATTTTGACAGTTCAGTAAAAACCTTTCTCTTTTAATGACAAGAGAAAAATTGTCTTCTTCGCCGTTATCAGAGTCATCGCTCATATAATGAACCTCTATTTTTCCGGGAACGTCATTGTGAAAGCTTTGAGTCTGAAGGTCATCCTCGTTTATATCCTCATTGTCAGTTTGATAGTCAGTCTCAGAAAGAATAACTACCACCGCTGGGTCATCTAAAGCTAAAGCAAGAGTTCTATAACGTTTTCCATAAAACCCAATGGGACTAATCTGCGGCAATTCTTGAAAATTTATTGCAATTCGCTGTGAGTTTCGCCGGTAGCGCTCTCTCGCGGTTTGAAACTTGTACTTTTCTTGTAAAATCAGTGTAAATGAAATATGACAAAACGAGAAAAATAGATATTTATTTAAAAATACAAAATAATGAACTGAAATATTATGGTAAACTGATTAATGAACGAATACACAGAATTAATAGTAAAAATAATTACGCCTTGTTATTTTATTCATTGTAATTATAATATTTAAGATATAAGTTCTTGCGACTGGATGACTACTTACGCAAGAGGTCATTGAGAAAAAGGAGAAGTTTTTATGAAAATATTTAATGGTTAAAGCAAATATTTAAGGTTATAGACGCTTAAAACGTCTATATTCTTTAATTAAAGGTTACCTTTTAACGTTGTAATTCTTGTTTTTATTTTACATTTTTATTCTGTTTTTGCACAGTTATTTTTTGTGTGCGTAGGCCTTAGTGCTTAGATATCAATTTGTTTTAATTCTTCTTCTTCTTCTTTGGTTTTATGGCCTCCACCTCTTAAATTTGTTTTAATTTTATCAAAATGGATATTAAACATTATACTGGTTTTAAGTCTATATCACATGATATCCCATTTCAACCAGCTACACCAAAAAAGGGAAAAGGTTTAGTTGATGCAGGGCATGTACGCAATGTTTCGGAATATAATAGCTTTTTAATTTTACACCATACAAATATCATGTTTGCATTATAGGTTATTTACTTATTTTTCTCATTGATAGCAATAATCCATTTTTCTCTTTGAACTATTTTATGCTTGGCAACAGGAAATGAATAAAGTTTACAATGACTGTTGTACCCAGTATTTTTACATGTATCATATATTTTTCTTTTTGAAAAATCCATATTCGCCATTATTTGAATGTTTACAAGTTAAATGCACAAAACTGCCACTAATAGCGTTGGTGAAAACTGTCAAATCCCCTCTACTCATCGGCTCACAGCGAATACCAATATATACCTGAAACAATAAAAAACTAAAAATCGTTTTGATCTGATACAAACCCACTGTACTCAGATGAATACAGGTCTATTTTGTAACATAAAAACAACAATATTAAATAAAATCTTATACTGAATAAATAAACATTACCAGTACTTACCCGTACAACAATAAAAGTTAAAAAAATGATAAATAGTATCAAAATCACAAAATAACAAACACTTCAATGATCCAACAGAACTATGGAGGTTAGCTTATAATTACTGCGGCACAAAATTAGGAAGAAGAGCGCCACCTATGGTAAAATTTGTGCAAATCTAGTAGAACACTTCCTAACAGAATCGGACATACACGTAGAGTACCACTTTTTTACCAGATGTGTCACTACCTATCCATTTTTGCTGCTGTACTTAGAAGAGTACAGTGGAACTAAATGGGTTAATATTCTTTGTTTCCTCCAGTAGCATTCATTACAGCTTCACACTCCACATACAATTAAATTATAAATTTTGTTTTGAGGCAGTAGGATCCATTCCTGTATAAGAAGATCTTAAAGACCTTGTCTAGTATAAACATTGGGCAGATGAGGAGCACTCCGTCTCTGAAGTATATCCCATACATGTTCAATGTTATTAAGATCTAGCGATTGTACTGAACAAAGTAAATATGTAATATCCATTATGAAACCAATCTCTTAATGTTTCTGCAGTATATGGCCTTGCAATATCCTGTATGTGATGCAAATCAGAACCTGCAGCAATGGCAAAT